GTGAGCGTGATAAAACCTGTTTAGGAGGAATACAACCTAAGTATTTCCGCTTTCTTTAAAATAAAAAGATAGCTACCGGATTATGTACACAAGATGACCCAGTCAGCATCTTTAACGGCAGTGGTATCGAGAGCAGGCGTGTAAATGTACCACAGTAAAGAAAACTGTGGTACCTGTTTTGTACATACCAAATTGAGGTTATTGGATTTGGTTGCTTGAACTATGTAAATGAAATGTTTTATTTTTAATTTTAGTCAATCATTCATTTCAATGAAAGTAATCCACGGTTTATAGGTGAAAAAGCTGTCCGTGCCTACTACCTTAAAGCAGCATTACTTCCCAAACGATAAGCTATGTTTGTCAGCCTGAGGCTAGACTGTTCACAGTCCCCTATATTTTCGTGAGATCGTCGAGCTATAGCGTGTCTTAAGTACCGTTAATGGCGGCCATCTTGATTTTCAAATGTACCAAGGGGACGGGCGTCGGGGATTATAGCTCTAGGGTACGGGGGGCGAGAAAAAGCGCTCCATCTCGACGATCTTACGGGAAAATAGAGAACTGTGAACAGTCTAGCCTGAGGCCTTTGATTTGTTATTAAGGCAAGTAAATATAATGACGGACTTTGTGGACGCGGAGATTTTCCTAATCGATGGCGATTCCTTGCTCCTGGACTTTCTTGCTGAGAGGAGCTTGGACTGGAGTAATGGCGGGCAGTTCCTCCATCTGACATATCTAGTGGAACGATTTTTACAGTATTTTACAGATAAAGGTTAGTCTAGTTACATAATATCGTAAATAGGACTATTTGCCTTAAACGAAAAGAGAGAATAACAAAAGAAATGAAATCTATTCTTTCTTACTGCCGGTGTTTTCCTCGGTTTAGGTAATTGGTGAATGCATGAGAGCGATTTCATTCAGGTAGTCAGTAGATAATAGTTTTGTACTTTATATCTGGTCCTTGGTAGAAAAGCCCCTTAACATACTTCGCTTCGTTCCAAACGGCTTTGGAAAAAGGAAGAAACCGTCATCTTTAAGATTTTGTTATGAAGAGCGGTGATTATTATTAGGTAGAGACACCATAACATTATCGAGGTGCCTGTCTTTAAACGATGCCCACCTAAACATTGTCTTCGGCAATTGAGTGCCTTTGCAAAATGATTGCAATATTGGTGCACTACGACAAATGGTAATTCTGAAATAAAAGATTAACAGCTGGTGTTCTCTAAGCACGCTGTATGGGGGTTACAAAGCAATGAGCCACGTTTTTGCACATTGTAATTTTGAGGGGATCTCGTATGCCTTGCTATAAATAACAATCTAGTCAACAGAATTGACAGATTTCTAAACCAGTTTACTTTATTTAGGGGGCGTTTTCCACATAGTGTTTTTAAAAGGAATGGAAATTATCTGGAACAGCCAGCCGTCCATGCTGTTAGCACGCCAAGCCCTTATTCTGCATCTTAAGTACAATACAACTTTCACCGTTGTCACTTCAATCGATCACTTTTTTGGAAAGCAGTGGAGAGATTATGTTAATATCAAAATTCCCGCATTTCTGGTGCTGACAGACGCAGAAAATATTCCTTGGGAACCTGGAGAGAAAACTCGTCGAGGATTGCAGTTTTTGTTCAGAAGTCTTCTTTTTCACAGTCTCGGCGAGGGTTTAAACTGTGTATTTATTTCCGGTATTGAAATGACTGCAACTAAAGTGATGGGATATTACATGGAGTCTTTACCAGATCATAGATTACGCTTCAGAAAGGTAGGGCCTGTTCAGGTTCAATAGTATGCAAAGTCTAGAGCTTAAAATTGATCTTCAACCTACAAATTTAATGAAATGAAATCAGTTCAGTTCAAATTGCTCAGAATCTGGACTTGAGATCACGCCATATGGTGACTATCGGGAATACAACGAATAACTAGCTAGTCCCACCACCGAAATTTCTCGACTTAGATATTCCATTTTCGTGAAGGCTAGACCCCCGAATTAAAGTCGTTTCTAAAACAAGGCATTGTAACAAAGTGCCTAAGATACTTTCAAAGGGTCAAAGATCCACTTCCTCCAAGAGAAAGAAATTTTAAAAAATTTCCTTGGAAAATGGCGGGCCGAAAAACACTTCAGATTCAAACTAGCCTGCATGACAGGCGCTTTATGAGCCACGCTGGGCGAACGCAGCTTTTTGCGCGAAGCACCAGACAAGCTCGCCATCCAGGCTAATTCCTGGTGCTAATTCAAACAGTCGGGCCAAGTTTGAAAATAATCGCTAGAGACGTCTATGACTTTGTTTTGATAAGAGTGCTCTTGTTTTTGTAGTTTTCCAAGACTTGCTGGAAAGCATGGTGTGCTGTAATGAGTTATTTTCGTAAAGAAGCGTCCAGTGATGACCAACAGGCTCCAGGAACCTCTCTAGTAACACAGGTATGGATAACCAAATGAGGACCTAGTTACTTTATAAAAAGGGGGTCACAGGTCACAATCAGGCGTGGATCCACAACGGTTTCCACTGTTTTACAGAAATCGGTCAGATTTTTCATAACAAATATATTTTTAATAATAAAAAGCTTTCCAAGTTGAAATCTTGCTCCATATCCAACATACAATGTGGAAATTAACCTTTATGAAATAATCCGTCGATTTGCGAGGCTTCACCCGAGGAGAACGGAACGGGCCAATATCCTGTCTGAATGGCTCAGAAATCCAGGAAAGGGATGCGCCACTTTAGGGAGTGGCGCATACCCCGGACCCCCCAAGAAGCTCGCACCTTCCGCTCTCGTTTAGGAAATCGGTCAGTATTAATCCTAGATCCGCGCCTGACAATGGTCAATTTCTCTAACAATGTTCAGGGACAATTGTTAGGATCGTTTCATATCCTAATGTTCGACGGCGGAGATCGGACAAGCAATCACTACAGTAATCATGGAAATAAAATCAACTGATCGTGAAATTGGTAATGTTAAGTTTTGCGACACTATCTAATTGCGAAAACGTCCTATAAAACTGGCTATATCAATTAAGGCAAGGCAGAAGGATAAAAGTTAAAATGCTTAACTTTTTGCGTACGTAATAACTATGTAAAGTATAATTGTTTCGGCTTCTACATGTACAAGAACTAATAAAACCGCAAAGCATAAAAGATCATTGTATATTATAACGAGAACCATGTTCTGATTTACATTGCAGTTGGATCTGAAAGAGAAAGTAAAATCTGCTCTTCAGTCTCCAAATAAGAGAGGGTGCCGTGAGCTAGCAACCGTTCTTGGTTGTGAAATGCTCCTGACTAAAATTCTGAATGACTCTAATGTCAGCAAGGTACCTGATGTTGTATATCAATCAACTTATTGAAATATCTTAAAAATGGACGCTATAAACTGACAACGAAATAATGGCCGCGATGCGCTTTGTTATTGTTAAAGTACATGCCAACTCTGACTACGGGCGTGAATCGTTAAGGTGAACGGACGTTCCTATTTTTAACGTGTCACTCCGTAAATTTCATTTTACTTATTTCTTTCTGACTGGGGAGCCCAGGCCTCATAAGTCTTTTAGTTTCTTCTGGGCTCCCTTGCCAACTCATAATTCCTATATATATTCCTGTACTGTAAAAAATATTTTGGCTAAATAAATGGACTGAATTGAACTGAAAAATCTTAGTTAATTATGTAAGAGAAAGTGGAGCCGTTAACCCTAGCGACTGATCTACCAGCTCGTTTTAGGCTTTAATAAATTTGAGATCTTGTGGCTTAAAACTGTTGACAAGGATCGGCGATGAAGAAACAATAATAATATGAAGTACATTCTGTGTATTAAGTGATAAAGTTGCACTTTATTAATTTTTTGTGACCATAGGAATCAGCCAAAACTGCAGAAAGCAGAATCAAGCTTTTCCTGCTTCACTCCTTACTACTGAGTAGACTGCCATTGAAGTATAGAGCACATACTTTAAAAGGCCACTTGTTGACTAAGTTCTGCGAGGGAAAGGATGATCAATTTCAGTATAACTTTGACGAGGTAAGTATGACAAAAAGGTTAAGAATACTTTAGCTGTAAAGATAGCTTATTAGGACTCTGGTAGTAAAAAGGTACCCATTCTGGACGACCGTGAAGAAAGCGCGATTCTCATGCGATGTTTTCTAAATGGCCTTTTTTGTTGCAATCATGTACATGGTATAAATTTGCCACATTGGAAAGCAAGCAACAAAGTGGGGCGAGGAACAAAGGCTCACTTCAGGGTAGGATTTGAACTTGGGTTCTCCAGAGTCCGACGCTTTTACTACTTGTTATGCTGCCTAAGGAGGATTATTGAACGTCTTTGAACTTTTTATTTTCCTGACAGATGCACAAATGCCTGTGGGAGATTTTAAAGGTCATACAGGATGAGTACCCCTCCATACTCGCAACTGGCCATTCACTTGACATGACTTCAGTGGCTGATCTAATGGACAGTCGACTTCTTCATACTCTCTTTTCCCTAACCTTAGCATTTGAAGGAATGAAAGGTTCGAATAGAACACGTTATCCCTTCCGTTTTTAATTCTTACTGTTGTTTTCCCTATTCGTCGTCCTTAGGTACCTGTTTTACCTATCTGCAATTTACCTTAGCTGTTAGCTTACCGAAAGATGTCATAGAAGAAGCGGAGAGTACCTGGGGTATAGTTGTTGCTGATTTGAAAACTACCTGCACTCAACACTCTGATGTTTTGGCCACTCAGTTTCTTCCTTTTTCGGTTAAAATTGGGAGGGAATTTCGAACAGTTAAAGGTGAGAGCAGTTTTTGATGGATACTCAGCTTAGGTAATTTCAGCTATCTAAAGCTAACTAAAACTCAACCTTTTGGTCCTTCTAGTAGTATAGTGCGCACCAGTTAGTTCTTCTTCTTGGGGTGGTGAAAGAGTTTCGTTCGTCTGAGAAGAAACCACTGCATGACATGGGTGACGTCATATCTTGTTGCCTAATTAATAGGCCATTCCCGAGGTGCCCCAAGTCTCTGTTTCAAAGCGAGGCTAAGTGCTAAGCCATTGATTTGAGAACGATTTTTTATTCCCGTGCAAATAATACTCGTTTTCACAAGAAAGAATTTGCACTTGGCCACGTTTTGAAAGTGAGGGTTTTTTGGAACCCGGAAATAGCCTGCTCGATTCTGGGTTCATCAATAGTTTATGTTAATGAGAGACGAAGACATAAAACTAGCTGTTTACACTAAACACAAGGTTGTGTGGTGAAGCGTTTATTTCAATGAATCGTCTCATCTTCTACATGCTCCTCAGAGTGGATTCCGTTTTAGCATGCACGTATAGCCGTTGCATTTTCCGACTGGAATTTTTTATTGTTGTCAATCAGAATTCCAGCCGGCAAATGCGACGGCCATAAGCGTATGCTGGATGCTGCATATGAATCGACCCTTAATTAAAACTTTTAGCCTGCGAATACTTTCACGTAGAGTAAACAAGTTTTAGTTGAAACACTCTGCCATAGTTCAACTCTTGACCGCCACAACTTTAAGGAAAGCTGAGCTGGCACCTTATATATCAAAAAGTCTCATTTTGTAACTTTTTGTGTAATTTCATTCCTTTTTAGAAGCATGTGCCGATTCAGAAACCTGCGTAAAACTAACACGTCTTCTTGAGATGGAAAATTCTCTTGTAAGTGAGTACGCTGGTGACATGCGGTTAAAGATAAACGAAATAGCTGGGTAGGTGTAACGGCGAGTTAAGACTCGTTGAGTTGTTTAAGACTTTGCAAACGTATTACTATCTGCTAACTACCGCATGCGATGGTTGCTAAGGAGTATTTTCCTTGGTATTTTTTAGAGACGAAATAGACGACACAGTATTTTACGAAGGTCGTGCGTTTGATGAACTCTACCACTGGCACTCGCTAAAACCCCTTTCAGATGATTGTGAAAGAACTAAAGGTGACATCAAAGGTAAGTATTGAGGCGGAAATCCGCAAAAGAGAGCGTATCTCAGTACAGAAATGATCTGAAGGGGCTTCTATTTGATCTATAGACAGTTAGTACGTATCGGTGTAAAAGCAAGGCGTGGCATACCATGAATAATAGGTCTTTTTATTATCCGTAGGCATACCGATTCTCGCCCTCAGTTTTCAATCATTTACTTTACTGTAAACAATGTAGAAACAACACTTGTCTTTCCCAAGGCTATTAAATATAAAAGCAAGAGCCATAATAGGTCCTATTATGGCTCTTGATAAAAGCTATTTCCATGAGTTCCGGACTCAAACCTTTTGAAAAGAATCAGAATCTTAGAAACTTGCATATTATTCACTTTTGTGGTGGAATTAGTTTGATTTAAACAAGTTCTCCTAAAACCAGAATATTTCCAGATAACTGTCATGACCATCTCTGCATTTACTAAATTTCTTCATTCCGCAGTTCAAATATATGGAATCCGTATATTCATCATTTCATTTTCAACTTTCCCGAGTGTATTATGAACCAATTTAATGACAAGCTCCCAGTTTGCTTGCTAGCACAATTCATCAGAGCGCTGTACCGGTATCGCTGAGGTCAAGGTTCGAATCTTGGCAAGCCTGAATTTTTTCAGGCCTCCATTTCTCAACTGTATAAGTTATGTATTTAACTTTGATGATCGTCTCAGCATTTATTTCTTCATCACGCAGTCCAAATATATGGTATTCATAAATTCATTATTTCATCATATTAAATACACACATTTTACACTTTTACACACTTTTACACATTTTACACTTACTTCTTGAAAATACCTGTTGGACTTACGCCTTACCTTTTATGTTTGATTTTGTGACCAGAAAAACCTCCGGACGATCGAAAAGCACGATTTTGGTATTACAAAAGAAAACAACAATTTGCGCGTTATCACCGACTTTATGGAGATTCACTTTCTGGTGGTGTTGACCGTGCGAAAATAATCACAGTAACGGAAACTGAGAATAAGAAGAAAAAAGGAAAGGACAAAAAAGGAAAAGTGGTAAGTTGCGAGATAAACCATAAACTGCACCTATATTTTTAAAACAATGTAATGAATATTCGAAAGTCTTTAAATGGTTACAGGCGGAAAGAGGTGTTGCTATAAAAGGTAAATTACCACCTAATGTGGAGAACTCCTACAGTACTGTAGCAGCTGCACATAAGGTTTGTTTCCCTGGTTACAGAAAACAAAAACACAGCATTTTTTCCACCGCTTCACGGTTAAGGTTGTAAACCAATGGGCTACACTGATGGAGAATCTTTGTTTTCATCTCCTTTTTCAGAGCTCGAAAGCAGCAAAAATCATTGAAGAGAATAAGAGAAAGCGTAGAGGTATGTGCTTGGGGCCAAACAATTTAAGTAAATTGGCCAGCCTGATAGGGGAATGAACGAAAGGGCCGGTAGCGTCAGTGACTGGTTACCTTGTTTATATAGCACTGGTCTGGTGAACGGGAGGTCGCGGGATAGAACCCGAGGTGGACAAAACAGGCACTTCTGGTAAGATCATCCCGACTGTGAGTGATACAGATATCTCTCTTTCAGTCAAGCTGATTGCTTCATTTAGGCGGCGGTTTGTTCCCTTTACAGCTCGGAGACGTAAGAAAAACTGGCAACTATATGACTGGACAACTATGAAATTTTACTAACAAAAAAACGACTGTTATTAGTGCGCTTAAGAAGGGACGATGACGAAGACGGCAGTGAAAAAGCCGCTAAAAAATGAATCTGCGTCCTTTCAAACTTATTCGGATCTATTTAATTTGGACCCGCTCAATTCGTCTAGTGTGGGCGATTTTTCGTGGAGTTGAATTCTTGAGGGACTTTACCCAGGTTCAAAAAGAGAAAGGAAAATTCGTCGTCGTATGTTCACGTCCTCCATGAAACCTCGCGGTAGGAGGTTTCACGTCCTGGTGGTGCAGTGGACGTTAAAAAATGGGCTTAAGAGTGTGATGCACGTGCAGAGCTATTTTTGTGCTCATAAAACCAAATGTTTTTTGACTGTTACTCCGCTTAAGTCTGTTAGGCTTTGTTAATGATCATGAAGGCTAACTCGATCTTGGGACTTGCGTGGTTAAACTGATATGACGTTTAATGCATCAGTCAATTCCAGCTGCGCCTAGCCCCCCCCCCCCTCTTCCCCCCCCTCCACCCGGGGTTACTGCGGGACATTTGACCGCCTTGTAAGTCCTGGGGGTGGGGCATTTGCAAATTTTGAGCTGCCTAGGGGCCGGGCATTTGCCAACCCCGGGGCCATTTCCGAGCTTTTGACACGCACGTAGTTTCGTATCATGATAATAACGACACAGAAGATTTTACTGGAAATAAAGTAGATTGGCTCATCTGTCAAGGACAGGAAAAAATTGAAGAGGGTTGTGAAGACTGTGAAGGCATGTCCTCGATTTTATGCATTCAGTTTCTTCAGTGCTTATCAAGCTAGAATTATATAACCAAGTCAGGAGCAATCGATGTGAATCAACGTTTTTTGGTTATTGAATCAAATTTCTGTTGATATTATTTGAAGAACACCCTTTCATATTTATAAAACTATTCATAACTTTACAGCGCTCTATTTATTTTAATGTCAATAATTTTATAGCAATACTAAAACCATAAACTAGTACATACCGTCGCGGCGTGAAGTCTTAATTAGAATCCTAGCACTATTACAAAGGAAGACGTTACTTGAAACAAAAAATCGCCCATTAAAACGCTTTAAACGGCACTATTCGACTGTGCGATAACTGAAAAATGCTGCAGTGTTGACGGACGAAGGGTCATTTGCCCTCTTTTTTCGTCCTAACCTGACAGCTCAAGAGTCCCCACCCCCGAGAATTTTGCTATCCAAGGAAAAAAAACCTGCTAATGCCCTGCGGTCAGCCCGGGGGGTGGGGGGCTGGGCGCAGCTGGAATTGACTGATGCATAAATGAAAAATCATCACTACTTACAGAGCAACAGCAGGAAAAGGACCAAGAAAAATGGACACATATTCTGGCGGAGACCGTAAAAAGTCTGAAAAGAGATAATTACAGTGCTGCCTTGCAGTTCGTTGACAAATTTGTGGCAGATTGTGAAACACCTGAGTTCAATCTTCAAGCTCTTATGAAGAAAGCACAGAGTTGTCTGGATGCCTGGCAAGAGACGCGTAAGTTCCTTAACTTTCCTTTCTTTCATTTGCTTCCTTAAAGTTTCTTTCTTTGGCGATAAAATGATTGTCATGTCAGAAACGCCAGATGAGGTATATAATGTCAGATGGAGGAAATTAACAGCGTCGACTTAAATACTGACTGCGTCTTTGGGCATGGTGCCAGACAACTCTTCCTGTAAGCTTCTGTTGCCCCCCCGGGGGGGGGGTACTGCTATATATGGGCTATACTGGTATGTGCCGCTGTGAAGGGTATGGTTTTCAAGCAGTTTACTCTAGGATACGGTATATGAATCAGAGCGTTTGGGTCTAGATTAGGGTATTATTTTTCAGGAAACTGATCAGTTGGTTGAAGATTTTATCTAGACTAGGGATTGTGGTAGGATAGGGGGGATTAGGGGAGTTTACTCTAGTATAGGGTATCAAAATTCAGCTGAACTAGCTCTGGTATAGGTTAAGGGTTCCAGGGTCCCAGCGGCACATCCCCACCCAGAAGTTCCTGAAGTACCCTCCCCAGGCTGTTGCCTTACAGCAGAAAACCTCATCTGGATATGAAGATCGAAAGAATTATTCGAATCACTAAAATTCTTGCCTTATCTGAGACATATATACCAATAAAAAAACACACACACACCAGGCAATTCATAAAACCTTAGGTATTCCCTCAAATTTGCCCTATCAGTCTATATCCTGTCTAAATATGCAATTACTATGAATTTTTCTATTTCTTTCAACCCAAAGAAAGTACGATTATGTGTTAGGTGCAAAAATATAATTACATATGTAAATAGCAAATTGTGATTTATTAGTGTAAGTATGGCCAAAGAAGGTTCTATTTTGTGCTTGGAAATTGTTGCAGCATTGTAGTATTTCTCTTTTGTTGTTGTTGTTGTTGTTGCAGGGGCGGATCCAGGATTTTTTTTTAGGAGGGGGTGCACTTGTCTCTTGCTCTACTTCAACACCAATAAACCACATAGTTTTTTTTTTTGGCAGAATACCAGTTGTATTAGAAAACCGCACATCATCTCGGGGGGGGGGGGTGCGCACCCCCTGCACCCTCCCCCTAGATCCGCCCCTGTGTTGTTTTTGCTACAACAACCTACCGTTAATTTAACCAAAATTTTAACTTTAATTTTCCTAGTCAAGGAAATTCCCAAAATTTTGAACCTTCTGGTTTTTCAATTTCCTTTTCTTTATCAACCGAACCTGCCCTAACGTTACGTTTAAATCTTCTTGTTTTTCCTGCCTAGGGGTGGTTCGGTATTTTTTTTTTGGGGGGGGGGTTTTTGTTCTTTCTTCCTTTTCCCCCCCCATTATCCTCTTTGTTTTTTTTTTTGGGGGAATACTGGTTGTTTTGGAAAACCCCCCATCTTCGGGGGGGGGGGGGGGTGCGCACCCCCTGCACCCTCCCCCTAGATCCGCCCCTGTGTTGTTGTTGCTACAACAACCTACCGTTAATTTAACCAAAATTTTAACTTTAATTTTCCTAGTCAAGGAAATTCCCAAGATTTTGAACCTTCTGGTATTTCAATTTCCTTTTCTTTAGCAACCGAACCTGCGCTAACGTTACGTTTAAATCTACTGGTTATACCTGCATGGGTTATACCTTTATCCAGATTCAAACCAGGCGTTTTTTCAAACAGTCTAACGATTTACTGTTTTCTTAACAGAGATACTCGCTGTGTCTATAGGATTTTTGTACACTACATTTTATACGACTCCAAAATTTCAATCGTTGTGCTATCATTCCAGGCTCCCGTGACGCCAAATCAAATGACATGAAATATCCAGTTCTTCTCATGGAAAGCGTCCAGAAAATAACAGAAGGATTTGAAAGTCTTCTCACCGACAAAGACAAGAAGAAACTGGCAGGATACATGCAAAAACTTGGATTTGAAGACATCTCAACCACGTTTTACAAGCTGAATACAGAAAGTGGCAGAAAGGTCAGTAATAAACTGTCTACTGAAACAATTTTAAGCCCATAAAAAATAATTCAAAAACATATAATGGCAACTGGCCAACTAGGTTTCATTTTAAAGTTCACACCAAGAAGTTAGAACAGGGCTTTTAACATGTTTAATGATCAACTTCGTCGATTATTCAATTGTTTTCTTTCTTTCTTTCAATTTTGGCGTAGATCATATTAGTTTTCAAAGAACTATAAAGCCTCGCATTCGTCCTTAAAGTGAATTTCTTATCACGTAGGCTGGACAGTTGTCACTTAACACAACAAGCGCAAGATTCCAACTAGAGTACATGGGACATTTACTGAAAAGGGAAGAGCGGACTGATCCTGACAGTCGAGTAGACCACTTCATTCCTGACTCGTGGCAGGTATGTCTTAAGCACTCACTTTGTCAAAACTAAAATATAAACAAAAGAAAAAACGAGCTTGACCTCGGTCCTGAGCCGGTTTTTTACCGACATGACACCCAAGCCTTTTATCAGCACTTACAGCTGTCTGACATTCAAACCATAAAATTAACGCTGCTCTGCCAAGATTAGCTGGCTATTGTGCTAGTCCGATGAAGAGACAGCCTCAAAAGTGCTGCTTTGGGAAACCAAACATGGTCAGCCAAATCGAGGTAGACCAAGAATTACAAACATTGACACCATCAAAGCTGACAATGGACTGGACAATACCAAAGAAATAAGAGACGCAATGCTCGATCAGGTCGTGTGGAAAGATTTTGTGAGGACGGCTCGGGGTGATTCCGGCCTAAGGAAGTAAGTAAGTGCTCTGCCAAACGTAATTTCAGGCGTTTAATTCTAAATTCCAATTTTCAGCGTGATCTTCTCGATGCTGTGGATAATAATGAGTCAGCTGTGATAGTTGCACCCACATCATCAGGAAAGACATACGCCTCGTATTACTGCATGGAAAAAGTACTGAGGGAGAGCAACAATGGAGTAGTGGTTTATGTCTCTCCCACTAAGGTATCAGTCTTGTTTAGAAATTTCTATTATGTTTGTCGTATTGCCACGCTTTAATTTTGGCCGAAACATCTTGCGTCACAGATCTTTGTAAACAATAAAAAGTAGAACCAAATGACCAATCGCGTGCTACCAAGTGTTTCTCGCCCTTGGCGTAACATTACTTTACTCTTCATCAGGGTTCGTACAGGTCATGGAAAACCTGGAAAGTCATGGAAAATTAAAGTCATATTAGATAGATTAGATACTGCAGATGTCAAAGGAAGGACAATGTAAGAGAGAGACGAGTAATTAAATGGCATGGATTTTAGTGGATACCAAAGTTAGTGTCTGTTGAAATGAGTTAGATTAAAAAATACTCTAAATGCTAAAACAAGGATACTTTTGAAAATATTCGAACGTGACAGCAAACCCTAAGGTCATGGAAACCTTGTGAAGGTCATAGAAAAATTCATGGGAAGTCATGGAATTTAAAGAGCTCAAAAGATCGAGTGCGAACCCTGCTCATACTTCTTTACACGTGAAGTCTTGGCGATGCTACAGATGTGTTGCTTTTGGTGAGCTTTCTTTGCTCATAATGTATTCCTCCGCAAGTTAATGAGATTCCACAGCACAAAATGGAGTAACCGGTGCGCACTATACTACTAGCATAAAACAGTTTACTTCTCAGTCTCACCAAAATATCCTTTGTTTTCGAATTTGTGAAAATCAATTTCAGCAACTACTATATAATCACAGAATTGACTGAAATATCACAAATCAACAGCTTCGACACAAGGAGCACGGGTAGGCAAAACTGAAGAGTAGGGAAAGTTGAAAAACGCTTGCCAGCTGTTTTTTCAAGTTTGTGACTTACAATTGTCTTAGATATGACTTACAATTGCAATTAGGCGAGAATTTTGTCATAAAAGACGTTTCTTTCACCAATAAGAACTTTAAAGCGCTGGCGTGTAAGTGAAAAAAAAAATAGACAAAACCATTAAAAATACTGTGACTTAGTCCGTTTAACATTATCACGAGTTTAACGTTTTTAACTAATTTTAGTTTTAAATGTTTACCGAGGAAATCGAGTCAAAGTTTGGTCTTTTAGCTTTTCATCCCTATCAGTAAAAACGTTTTAACTGCACTCCTAACATCTCCTTAACACTGTATATTACAGGCTCTTGTAAATCAAGTTGCTGCCACAATTTACGCCAACTTTCATCGTAAGAAACTTCCTGCGGGAAAAGCTGTGTACGGGGTATTCACCAGAGATTATCAGTACAATACTTTGAACTCTCAGGTAATTGTTGTGATGCTTATTACAAATCTTTTACATTCCGGTCGCCGTCCTTTTCCTTCATCATTGTATGTATTACCTGAGGCGGTCTGGGTAGTTTACATCTGGGGCTGTCAAGTAATATCCCTAACTCCAACAAAAATAGAGTTGATTCAACTTTTAGGCTAACGAAAATATAGGTCTAGAAGAAGTGAAAAAAAGAAAACAAATAAAAATCCCAAACAGAAAGAAAGAAAACAGCTTTGCGTTCCAAGGATGGGGCAAAGGAAAGGAAAGGTAAAAGCTTGGTCCTTTTAGTATTTATGAACACGATGCATTGCTCAATTAGTTAACTTGCTAAAAGGCATACACTAGTCTGTAATTGAAAAAATTGATCTTTGGTTTTCAGATTCTTGTCACAGTCCCTCAGTGCCTGGAAATTCTCTTCCTCTCGCCTGCCAGACAGGACTGGACAAAAAATATCAAATATGTGATCTTTGATGAGGTAATACATATATTGTTTTCATAACAGCAAGTGTTCCACTTGTTCAAGCTTTGTGTTATTTTATTATTATTTTTTTTTACGTTTTTCCTTCTCCAATGCTTCATGTAATACTGTAGTACAGAACATTATGCTCATATGTAATCAAAGACACTATTTCAGGCAAACATTGGAAACGTTCGTTTATCTTATTTAGGTTCACTGCCTTGGTCAGGAGATTGGAGCTGAAGTCTGGGAACATCTCCTCCTTTTGATTCGTTGTCCCTTCCTGGCGCTTTCAGCGACCATTGGGAATCCACAAGATTTACTGAAGTAGGCTTTTAGCTCATCTTTTTCGACTTGTTTACGTTTACCTTGCTCATTTGTATCACGAGCCCAATGCACTCTTGGTTGTATCAAGTTTATCAGTTCACAGACATCACAAAAACAGTGTAGTCATCGAATCCCTCACGTCATTGTTAAAATTAAAAGATTCTTGTTTTTCCGCGTTTTGTGCGTTATCTGTCCTTTCAAAAAAAAAACCCGTAGTGGTTATTTGGCTAGCTATATATTCATTCTTGTTGTTATTCATTCAAAATATTGCGCCGTTTCTAAATGGCTTTGATCCACCAACCTCGTTCCCAGGGTCCTCTCCCATTGAGCCCCCGTGGCCACGGGGGCCGAGTAGGAGAGGACCCTGGGAATGAGGTCTTTGATCTACCGGCTAATTCTTCGTAATAGCTGGTGCTGACTAAATTTGGAAAATGCAGGCAATATTCAATCATTGACGTCGCGCAAGACAGAGGCGCGGCAGCTTAGCTTTTTATTGCATCAGTGGATAACTCAAGAAAAAGTGAAGAGTCAACGACTACTGGGACGAAGACGAAATAGCTGAAATTCTGGCTGAAAATACGGAGCAAATATAAGAAAACACAAGACAAAATCAAGTATTGCTCGATGGATGTCATCTGCTTTTTCAAGAGAGAATGAGCTTTTTCCTTTTTGTTGAGTATCTGCAAGGAAATAACAATCATTCATATTCATTCACTTGTGTAACAATGAAAAAGATATTTTGATGAAAGAAAAGGAACATGATGGAAACCATTGTTGTCAAATAAAATTGCAGCTGGTTGCAGGCCGCACAAGACTTCCGTGAAAAACAGGATAAACAAGACGGTGGAAAGCTAAGGAAATCATACAGAATCAGACTAGGTATTACTTGCTTTACTAATTATCATACTTTTGTTTCCGTTGATAAGCAAAAAAATTTAGCCTAGATCAAGCATGTTTTATAAGGTTATAAGCGCATTAATCATTATACCTTGGGGCATATACCTTTGAAGCCCGGCTCCCATTTCAACGTTGCGGATTACACCCTAGCTCATCGATATGAATTTTATTATTCAAAGCGTGTGTATATTAAACATCGAAAATACAATTGAACTGAATTGTTCTCTCTTGCAACTATATCTGCACATGACTTAAATGGGGCGAGGTGTTCAGTAAAAAATTAAACGTAATAAAATAGGCTTTTGTTTCGTCTACATTCATTCATTCATGTCTAATCTTCTTTTGCTTTTGAACGAAAGTAACTTGTGAAGAACGATACTCAGATCTGGAAAAGAGTATCTATCTTCCAAGTCCCAAAAACGGAGGATTTTCTGAAAAGACGTTCATGTACGATGATGGTTATGATGTTACGAAGACAGAAGAGTTTGTAAGCCTTCATCCATGTGCTCAGCTTGGACCCAAACAGGTTGGAAATCATGCCGATTCTTGCTTTCACTTTAACTTCGTTTAGTTTCAGGTAAACAACAAAACCGAGTCCCGAACCCAGTACAGTCAAATTCCGTTAATACAGACACTGAGGGGGCATAGAAAGTGTCCATATTAACGGGGTGTCTGATTAAGCGGGTTGAATCTAGAGAAAATGTAAGGTATTTCCTATCCCATGCAGGGACAAAGCAAACTGTCCGTAATAATGAGGAGTCCATATGAAGCAGGTGTCCGTAAAGCGGGGTATGACTGTAGATAGCTATGGTACAACCAAGAAAAAAAGTAAAAGAAAACACAAAAATTCGGTTTCGTTGGTTAAGTCAATGTACCACCGGCCGTAAACATTGAAAGCTGACGTTTATAGCACTATCTCTTTGTCAGAGCCAATTTCATTCGTTCTGACTTGACAAAGGGCGAGCGCGCCGGGGTCATAGGGTCGAAGGAATCGTAGTTGGAAGAATTAGAACGTCTCCATTTACTATGTAGTGAAAACCAGATTGTAGAAGGCGGAAGCAGAGTTCGCCTCTGCTTGCCAACACCATCAACCTCGTTTTCACTAGATCATATATTAATAAAGCTACGTGCAAACGGACGCAACAACTCCCAACATTGTTGGCCCAACAATATTGGGAGTTGTTACGTTCGTTTGCACGTAGTTAAACGTTTGACCGGTTTCAAACTTTGCGCAACGACTCCCAACAGCATACAACGACATGTAACAGGTTGTGCAAATGGACACATCATGTAACATCCAACAATGTTGGAAATTGTTGGTCAACAATATTGCGTCCGTTTGCACGGGGCTTAACGCTCTACGCTTCTTATTACGAGCCCTCTCCGATTTTTAAATATATAGACCATTTTCGGGTCCATGTATCCAGATAAGTGTCCTGTTTTATACCAGTCTGAATAGCCTAATGCCTATTTCTTCCATTTAGCTTAAGGAGAATGGTTTTCCAAGTGATTTGTCTCTCACCCCTAAAGAAACTCTGGAACTCTATGACGTCATGTTCTTCCACTGGTCTGATAAGGAATCGTTGAAGGTTTGCAAATAAATCATCATAGTAAAAAAAATAATATTGTAATGAAATTCCTCCAAACAATTTATAAAAACGTTATGTTCGGTTCGGCTAGGACTCCCTAGCGGGGCAAAAAGATTTGGTGACGTCTGTTAGGCCTACAGAGGCCACCTCCAAGTTTCTTGAAAATCCATTTAAGCATTTCAAGTTTACTCTAGCCTACCGTTTTTGTTTGAAGAAGAAACACATGAAGTAAAGAGGGTGAACTGGTGCATTTAGGAAACTGTTCTGATGATAACTTTAGCTATTTAATCCACGTTATAAGAATAACTTGGATTCTTTCTATGGGATTTAACTTTTTGTTTAATGATAACTGTCGTTTTGTAGAGACTTGCTCCTGAACAGTATTTCCGCGAGAATAGGTTCATTCACAAGAAGCATACAAGAGCGTACGAGGAGGAACTGAAAAAGGAGTTAGAATCCTGGACGAATCACCTAGAACAGTTTGAAAAGGTAAAATAAAGTAATTAACTGTGATAACTCTTGAGAGTCTGGCAATGTGATAATTTAATTTCAGTCTCGTTCTCAGACCTTTTATCCGATGTGAACCTATCCTGGGGTTGAAAAAGGGGTTTCGGTCCATTCTTTGATCTCCGCTGGCCTGTATAGCTGGCGGTTTCGTTGGATGGCTGTGATGGAAACATCTTAATTGCGCGGGGAGGCCGAGAGAGAAATATAGGGGAACAGGAAAGAGAAAGCGCCTCCCTGAACTCTTGGTCAACTTAAGAAGGTGTGTTGGATATGAATACTTTGATGAATGAATCAGAGGGGCCATAGTGAGCTTAAGCAACAGCGTTTTTGAGCGACGGACGTCAACCGGAAGTGAACTTTTCCCATCACTGGACAGTGGTTTGGTTGAGCTCTCGGGTAAATCGTATTTATAAGAGAAAAGAAACTTAGCAATACAAATTTGTTAGAGTCAGGGCACATAAAAAGGGAGAAGGCCTCACTTCCGTTTGACGTGCGTCGCTCAAACGTCTTTGCTTAAGTTCCCTGCGCTTTTTAAGTTGGCTGGAAATTAGCTCCTCTTCTAAAAAGTAACCCAGGGCATTAAAAGTCCACAGGTCATGCCACAGTTAAACCGGTTTGTTCAGGCTCTTGCCAGACCGGTTCTTAGGCAAAATGTTGATCACATTTATGTATTTAAGAACAACCTCGTCCCCGGGGCTTTTCCCTTAGAAAATAGGAAAGGCCCTGAGGACGAGGTTGATTTAGCAATTGTCGCACAGCTTTCTCTTGCTCTCGGTCACCGCAGCACAATTTCACGAGATTTTCTTCGAATTAAGTTTAAACCTTGGCCATCCCTCGTCACTACGCGTCAGTTTTTAAGTCGACTTCGACTTGACTTAGCATTGTTGTCGTTCACGTGAGAAGTATATTAACATCCTTAAAAACGCGTCTCTTCTAGCCCCTGGATCGTGTAGATTTATGCAATTGACTTGTATGAACTTCACAGCCAATCAGAAATCTCCATGCACCATTGTTTGGACTACTTAAAAACGCAAGAGTTTGGGTGAGCAGCAAAGCGCATGTTGGTCCCCAAAATGTAAAGACGTCCGTCTTGCTTTATAGTTTGAATCTTACGGTTTTATTGGGATAAACTATTGATGCTTTAATGTTCGTTTTTTCATTTTGATCTCAGGCGCAGTCCGTGATTAAATCACTGAATTCTGTCTGTGTGAAGAAAATGATCTCAACTGATGAAGAATGGTTAGAACTTGGGATAGGTTCGGTCGGTAGAGGGGCCATCCTCTGCAATTATTCAAAGCTGGTTGAACAACTCAAAGCCCAAGATAAGCTACCAGCCCTCGTGTTCAGGTAAGACTAATTGTCAAGAGTACTAGCGATGCGACGCTAGTCTTTTTCGATAAACCGTCATACTTTGTCAAATGTTTATTCATAGTTTCAGTCACTAAACAGAATTTCGTTTTCAAAAGCATTTTTCGAACTTTTTATTTGTTAAAGAGTAGTGCCCGCACAATTACACTTCATTTTCCTGGACGCACAGTGATGACCTTTAAAGGACTATCGTTTCCGAGAATTAAAAAAAAAAAAAAAACAATCAAATTATTTTAGTCGTCACCTTAGAAACTTCCTAAAAGAAAAAGGCAGCAAAAATAATAGTTCAGTTTCGAATTAAAAATCACCGCTGAATACAAACATTTAGGACACATTCATACAGGGTTAACCTCGACATAAAGTAAAATATTCAGAAATTCCGGCAAGCAAGTGTTTGAAATTTGAATATAAACAATAGACAGAGTAATAAACAGGTCTCTTTCTCGTTGGAAATTGTGAATTTATTACTTCAGATGGAGGCTAAGCCTGTAAAAAATGCGTCTTCACTTCTTTAATTCAGCGGTCATAGCGAACTCGAAACTGAACTATTGCGCTTCCTACCTTGCTCATGTTTGTCCCTTCGCTGTCCAGTGTTTAGCTTTCTTTTCGTTGTTTATATAACATTCTGTAAGTGGAGTGTATCTATCTTTAGCCGTTTATGAGCTTTCTTGCGTATCACGTTTACCATTTCATCATCTTTTAAGATGTTGAAATATTCTGGAAACCGACATTTTGCACTCTGTCACGTTCGCGTCAACAGCGACAGGTTCATGTAAAACGCACCCAGGCTGGTCGAAAACCCAAGCGGTGTAAAACTTTGAAGCGATCCATTTTATGGGATCTGTCGAGGACTTCTTTATGTGGTGGCAAGTAACTGTAACTGATATTTTAATAAAAAGTCCGGTCTCCTTTAATGCTTACTTAAGTATCCTATTTTGAATGTTACGTAAGTACAAGCCATGCTCACTAATTCGTTATTTTGTTTTGTATTTTTAATAAGCTTTGACCGAAAACTGTGTGAAACACTGGCATTTAGACTTACTATACAATTTGAAGACAGAGAAGATGCTATTAGGGAACGCACAAGAAGATCCGATGAGAGGAAACGTTTACAGGCAGAAAAGAAAGCTAAAAGAGCTAGAGATGCAACAGAGAAGGAAAAGGAGAAGAGGTAACAGCGTTCGACGTTAGGAGAACTCAGCCTAAACTCAACCGGCGAGAATCCTGGGTACAAACCACTGACAAACATTTAGCAGAAGGAAATTCGACTTGAAAATTCGAGTTGGGTCAAACACCGGAAACAAAAATACGTTGTAGACCAAGCGCCACCTAGTCAGTTTAATTGGATGAGCGCCAGTAATAACTGAGAAGAAAGTGCTGCCTTTGTAGTAACATCTGCAAAAGCCAAGACTTTCTAGTCTTCTCGGATAAGGTCGATAAACCGTTGGCCCCGTCTCACAAGCTCGGCACACATAATAAATTCTGTGGGATGTTAAATAAGTCAAAGAACCCACACACTGTTCGTATAAAGTAGGGAGCGTAGTCCCCGGTGTGGTGGTCTATCCCAAATTTACTCTCACTTAGAGGGCATTATTATTCATTCCTTCATTACTTGTAAACTGAACCATAAGCAGTCTGACTGGCGAAAATCCTCCAACCAGTGTTGAGAATTATCCCTAAAAAGTCCTGAAGGGACTAGATAAGATATATATGTTATTCACCGGCTTGGAAGTCCGTATTGGGAGAAACTGTGCCCGAGGTCAGGGCAAAGTCGAGGCAAATTCAATGGAAAACGACAGAATCTAGATTCTAAAAAGACAGCAAAAATGTCCAATAAACTCGTCTCCTCTAAAACTCCTCCCCATAGTTCACTGAATGGCAGGAACTTCTCCACTTTGATGAAATAGTCGGCAACCGCAACTCCAAAGGTAAACATTCGGACCCACTTACTAATCCCAGATTTTACTAGTTTTAAAATGAATTCCTTAATTGCTTTGAGATTCTAATTTAAGACCTTACTGAGACCCTATTTACCTTGTGAACAGAACCAGCAGCCAACGAGATAATTTAAAAGAAGTACAGCATGATCTAGCCTGCGAAGCGCAGACGTTTTTTCCGTCGTCGCTCCTCTCGCTCCAAAAAATTTTTCCTAGTGAGAGAAGCGACAACCGGAAATACGTCTGCGCTTCGAAGGCTAAAGACGATCAGAGTTTGCCAAATTTGGAGGAACCTCTACCAGAATGTTCATTGTCGTTTACTCATGGAATTGGCAACCAGGTATCGAATTCGATATGAAATGTATTGCAGTTTTACTTTAATTCGTTCTCCATTGATTACCTGCTCGTAGTTCTATATAAACAAGAATTTATAGATCATGGCTCTTAGTTTAAGACAGTTTTAAGTGGGTAGAGTGTTGAAAATATGTTAAAGTTGCCAAATCCGTTACCGAATCCGGTCTTTTAGCTCCTTTAAGTCTTTCTGTATAAAAGTTTTTCCATGTAACCAACTTTTTTAGGAACTTTCACTCCACCAGTTGTTTGTCGACTCTCGACATTTTTATTTCATAAAATTGAATCCTCCTCTGACTCAGTTTGCAGAAGCAGTTGAGCCTTGTACGCGTCTAAGTACATTTACAAACCAGTTCATCATAAGAAGCGAGGAGCGGCAAAAGCAGTGCAAGAAAGAGTCGAAGGATCGAAAAAGTTCATACCGAAGGTCGAATCACAATTCCTTTTTTTGTAGAAGCCGCTTGAGTTCTGTTCGAGCAATTGAAAGTACAACTTGCGTGTTCCCTTTTTGTTTCTTCGCGCGTTTGTTTCTCTTTTATGAGGGTCTAAATGGGGTTAACCGATAGGCGTAAAACAGCCTAAAATTTAGTCGATAGCCGTAAAAATTGAAAAATTTTAACCCTTAGCCGTAAATAGGGTAAAAAGAGTTAACCGTAAAAGAAATTGTTCCCTAGCTAGGTTTGTCAATTTAAGGAAGGTGTTAAACTCACTTTTTTTATGGTTACGTTTTTTACTTCCCGGCTACTTTGACTCTGTACGCACGTTAGGCCAAGCGCGTAGCTTTTAGAGGTTGACCTAGACCTAAACTCCATTTGCGTTTCTCTCTCGGAGAACTAATTTTTTCCATAGCGAAAACCTGGCTTCTTGCTGGGGATTAATATTTGCGATTTTCAAGAGGTCGAGCCCTCGAAATACTAGTGAAACAACACGCAGAGATATGTCACTGTTTGTAAAACAAATTGCCGATAAACAACAATTCCCTGTTTTTCTCTAACGCCACGGTAGACATTGCCATGTCTAGTTCTTGTATTAAAGGCGTCTTCCCACGCAATCTCGTTCAAGGCATTTCCGTGGCGTATCTCAGAAAAAAACTCGCTCGGAACACGTGACCCGAAACTCATTAGCCGCGCGGAACAATGAGGCCTACGGACGAGGCAACAGGAGACTGAGTCGTTCTGTACAGTCTTTCGCTATCATCAAAAACACTGGACACGGGAATTTTGTTATTGGCTGTTTTCACACTAGAGCTAGAAATGGATCATCCGTCTGAGACTAGCCTGTGTGCAGACGCCCCCTCTCCCACAGACACCCCTTCTCCGATTTTTTCTTATTGGAGGAGGCGGCTGTACACAGGCTATCAGAAATGGATAATGCATATCCAAACTGTCCGTCAAAATTGACGAATAAAGTCAGGTGGATTGTTCATTTGAAATTAAAACCATTCCGTTTTGAAACTAAGACGTATTGCTTATCTGACGCGAATTATCAAACGGATAACCCGTCTCACGCGAATCACCCGTCTCTAGTGTGAAAATAACCTCCCACGCAGGCGTTTTTAGGGGAGCTCGTTTTTCATCCCTCCCCACAACGAGCTCCCCTAAAAACGCCTGCGTGGGAGGCTAGTGTGAAAACGGCCATTTCTGTTATAAATCAACGTCACGACCCCGGTCTTGAGTTTGGCGTTCGCGTTTTAAGTTGACTATTGGCATTTCTTTGCGTAAAATAATACTAGAAGTGGAATACTTTATAAAAAGTATGATCTATCAAATGCTAAAATTTTTCAGAAGGATAGCATTCCATCCCGAGATGATGTTAAGACCTTTATCTTGCTTTAAAGATACAAAAAATACAGGTTCATTAACATTTAACTCTTTGAAACAAAAGAAATTAATCTTTAACTTTTTTGTTAACCGTAGCGGAAAAAATTAACCGATAGCCGTAAAAGAGCCAAAATTTTAGCCGATAACCGTAAAAGCCACCACCCCATTGAGACCCTCTTTTAGTGTTTGTTTATTTGTTTTTCTTTCTAACTTTTATTTTGAAACAAGTGAAAAAAATGTGGATAAGAACGAACGACGTTTAGTTGTCATCTTTGATGCCATTTTCAAGTTCAAAATTATTGCTGATAAACTAACAAAACATTTTTCTGGCTGATGATTAGTATATATGAAATTGAAACTTGAAAATGGCGTCAAGATGACACCGAAATGTCGTTCGTCCCTTTCCGCGTTATTTTTTACTTGTTTCTGCATAACTAAACCTTTGCTTATTAAAATTTTTATTTTGTAGCGTTTGAAGAAGATCATGGATCGCATTCGTAAAATTCACAGTAGAAGTCTGTTCAAGAGCGCGTTGAGGCGAGGAATAAGCTTTCATCATGCCGGAATGAGCAGCAAAATGCGCACTGTCGTGGAGATGCTTTTTAGGGAGAAATATCTCCAGGTAAAATAAAAAAACAACAACAACAAAAATGTTAATGGGGGTGACTTCAATTCCACTTTCTACGTGACTGCGGTTTCTATGTAACGTCTTGACGTATACACTGTTGTCAATACCGAAACAAGTTTATTTTTGTAGAAACTTCATCGTTCGATCAATATAGCCTTTTGCATTCCTGGAAATTTGAAATAACTCACTTACAGAACGGTCACTTTTGGCTGGTGTTTCTGTCGAGCTGTGATATAGTTGGACACTAAAACTGTGTCGTTTTCTAACTCAAGCTCACTTATTGCTAAATTTGTCAGGAATTGAAAGGAAACCAAACGAAATTCTAATGACAAAAACTTGGAAAATGGCTTAAGAATACTCTACTTTACTTTTTCTTTCTTTAATACATAAGTTCTTGATGATAATGCAGATAATCCTAGTCGGGTTTTTTTTTTCCTGTTACCAGATATTTGGCTTATATTTAGCTTCTGAATTTTAGCATTCTTTAGGAGATAGGAATATAATGTGTGAAGGTCCTTTTATGGCCAAGAAATGTCTTCGACTATTCTGAATCGTTAGGTCGTCTCGGCAACAGGTACCCTCGCCCTTGGGATCCATATGCCTTGCAAGACTGTTGTGTTTGCTGGAGATTCTCCTTTCCTAAACTCTTTGATGTACAGACAAGTAAGTAGGCAAAGAATGTGAAAATATTGAACTCTTGTCGATAAATGTTTAATATAGTTTACCTTACTTGACAAAAGATGAACTAGGACTTTGGTCGCCTTACCAGGAATGTACAAAGGTGCTTTAGTAGTTACGCACAAATGAGGGTCTATACTTCGTTTCCTGTTCTTCACCGTCAATGTCCTGTTTGCCTAAACAAGGTATCTTGCCTTGTCACTCCCTGAAGACCCTCCCTTGTACTAAAAGACAGTGGATGTGAAGAACCAGCTTTCCAAGCGGTGTGGTCAGTACTTAACAGCCACATGAACCTTGCCAGAACAGTGAGCTGTTTCAGTTTCCTTGTTTATAGACTCGCAATCATAGCAATTAATTCCAGGTAGCTCTCTCCTTCGCGGAGCCTCTTTTGTCCCGTGAAAAGTTAGGAGAGGCGAAAAAAGATAAAGGAATAGCAGTGACAGCATCCGCAGTCAGCACTCATTAAACTCCCCTTACTACCGAACTGCAGCGCGTGCCTCTGGCAGCCTTTTAAGTAGTGGAGGAGGGATGTTTTACGCCGGTTTTTTGTGGATTTAATCAACTTTTTAAGTGGTATAAATTAAAGCAGATGACGTCATGCATCTCATTATGATAAGATGATGTCATAGTTTATTTTTAGCTGGCAAGAGCAAGTGACGTCAGAATATCCTAGGGTTGACGTCATCAAAAAATGTTGAGATCATAATCTACAAATAGAAAAGTGTTTTTTTGATATAATCAGCTATTTGCTATAGTCTTCTGATTGGATATTGTAGAAACTGTTATGTGTTCAAAATAAAAGCGGGCAAATTTTGAACGTGTTATCTTTGCAGATTATACTAAATGAAAAATCTTTAATCATTAAATTATTTTCACTAAAAATCGCTTATAAACAAAACCAAGAAACAGGTTAACTGAAAAATCTTTACTTCAAAAGAAGGGAAAAGGAGGTTAAGCGAATGCGAAATCGTACTAATTTTTCGGGCAAAACATGAAAACGAGGTCGAAGCTCAGCGAAGCGAAAAACTGCCTATCAAGCAAAAATGTCAGTCTTTGTTTACTTGACTCTGTAGAAAGTATTGCACAGGGTATAAAAATTCTATAGAAAACAACAGGTGGTTCTAAAGTAAACCCCAACTCTTTTGGTTCTTGAAAACTCCATTCTAGTAACTAACAAGTGGAACGTCTATTAAAAAAAAAAGATAGGAATAAGAGATGCGATCGCCTAGCAACACATGTCTTCTTATTTAGCGCTAAAAATCGGATATATAAACAAAATACACACACACGCATACACAAAGTGGAGCTGAAAACTCTCCATTTCAATTTTGACTCACCATTACAAAAGCGTTTTCTCCGTTCCATCTCGAGGAAACGACTAACTATTGAAGTCTCAGCCCTTGCGCTTGATGAGCTTATGGTCTTGTCCTGATTCACGCGCCGTTAGTCAGTTAATTATGCGAGGTCACAAGCCCACAGTTGCATACAAATTAGTTCATCTCTACAGCTAGACCCAAGGGAGTACCATGACGTATTATTATATAAACAATTTTAAATAACTTAACAAGGATCAATTTGAACACGAGACTAACATTAAAATTGCTAGTAATAAAACCACAAGAGAGATACCGTTTTAAAAACTTTATTAAAAGTCAACAACAAAAAGAGTCAAATACACAGCGATTTGGAAGGAAAAGGAATGAAAATTAATTCTTTGACTGACTATTACAAATCAGTTTTTTCCGTTCTATTTCGAGGAATAATAAATAATCCTTCCGTGTCTACACAATTTTCCTATGGCCTCGAAGCCAAGAGTTCGTTTTTCTTTGTTTCTTGCGCCTTGTCTTGTTCTTTGTAGTCGGTCTTTTAGCTTTTGCTTCAAGAGAGGCTTCATTTCTCTGTGATCTTGACAGTTCGCAGTACACCGTTTCTTGTGTCTGTACTGGATTGCGATAGTGATTTTTCCGGAATTATCCGCTTCACTTTCGTAAACGACGACTTTAACTTTAGGTTGCAGTTTCGCCTCAGTGTAAATACTGTCTTCGCTGTATGTGGTCTAACTGATGAACATCCGCGAGATGGTTAGCTAATCTGACAAGGTACTTTGCCCCACACGATGAAATAGGACAGTTTCTGCACACTCTCTTGTAAACCATGTTGACAGTTCGATGGCTGAACACAAATGACGTCTTTTTCGCAAATAGTCAGGTTTTATTGAGTGTCAGAAAGGCCAAACACAGATGCTTCATCCTACACAACTGACCAGCTTTAGCTTCAGCCTTGTGTGGTCTCTGTGACCCAGGGTAAGCAAGAGTTCTTAGCACAACATTTTAGGCTTTATTAAAAAATGCCATTATACTCTTTCCTGTTTTCCCTCCAATTTCCATTAGAAGGATTGTAACTCCTGGTATAATCAAAAGTGCACCCTTTTACTACGATATTTAAACAGTTTCTTTCTCTTACAGATGTCTGGCAGAGCCGGGCGCAGAGGGTTTGACCCTGTAGGCAATGTGATATTTTTTGGAATTCCTTACCGGAAGGTTCAACGTCTCATGACAGCCAATATACCGAAGCTTGTTGGAAACTTCCCCATAAACGTTTCGCTCGTTTTGCGCCTGCTTCTGATGACGTCAACAGGAGACGACAAACAAGATGCACTCACTAAGGTCAGAAGACGATATGGTCACCTATTTAATCAACCACGGGACGAAAAATTGGATTTACTGCACTTTTGACACGCGTCAAAAGTTAAGTCAAATGTTGTATTGGCTTTGACTTCACCTTTGACGCGCGTCAAAGATGTCGCCAAATATATAACCTCTTTGCTTACTCCTTTGCTCTCGGTAAAGGTAAAGTCAAAATTGGTAACAACTTTGACTTCTTCTTTGACGCGCGTCAAAGATGAAGTCAAATGAATCAATGCTTTGCTATTCCTTTAACCCTTATCAAAGTCGTTGTCAAATATGCTGGTAACTTTGACTTTACCTTTGACGCACGTCAAAGATGAAGTCAAAAGTGTAGTGGCTGTGACCACACCTTTGATACTAGTCAAAAATGAAGTCAAATACGACCGCTACACTTTTACAACACTTTCGAATGGCGCTGAAAGGTGAGAGCAAATATGCGATGAATTACGTCTACCAACACTTATGTCGAAACTGATATTAAGAAAGGAAATTGAAAAGCTATATTTGAATACTGTTTTAAAGATATTTATACGATAATACCGAACACGGGCGGGTAATCGTTGTAATTGCTGTTCTATAATTATTTTTGAAAATGTTCTAGAATATGTACTTTTTCGAAGTGATTTTTTTTGTCTTATCTTGAGTGGATCATTTTCTCCTTGATCGATCAATATACCATGTAATGACAGCGACGCAAAACGATGACTCAACAATTGGACGATGGAAGACTGAACCCAAGCAAGACACCCTGTTTTTGGCGCGAAATTGTCGCGGCTGCAAACTCTTTCCGCCCGCGCAAACAAACAAACTACGCAGATCTGAAGAAAACAAAAGCTGCTTTTTTGTACGAAGCAGTCCAGCTTTTGTTAACAAATATTTTCACCCTTATCTTTGATATAGTTTAGACCACAAACCTGTTCAAAAGGTACGTGTCATTCTTTTCTATGTGTGCGTACAATAGTTGCTCTTCAAACTTCATAGTTATTTTACTGTGTTAAGCTTACGGAAACCAACTCCGAACAGGCGTGTATGTCGTGCTTGGGAGCTTTTCTGATTGTTAAATCTGGCTCAGTAAACTTTAAAATTTTTTCTATATCACAGTAGAGTTTACATTAGATCAAGCCCTTTTTTCTTAATAGGGCATTTCTGCAAAAGTAATAGCTGGCTTATATTTCACAATGCAATTCAAGTCAAAACTCCATGCGAGAACCTACTAACATCAAGATTAACCAATTCTGGTTTTTCTAACAGTTATGCTTAACTACGAAACAATGTAAGACTTACATATATATTTTTTTCATGGACAGTGTACTTCAATAAAAATATCTGTACCAGTCTTTGATGGGCATGGTACTGAAGCAAGTACATAAGTTTATTTGAACAGGATTCAGTGCAGTTTATCAAACAAAGAAGTGTGGTTATTTGAAGACTTCGGATGTTTTACAGACGTGAGTATCTCTTTCTATTGATTTTTCTGGGTTCTATACGTAATGGGGCTCTGGCTGCATAAATTTTAAAATATTCCATTGATTTTTGTACCACCACGGTGGCAGCTAGGTATGTTTCAACATTTAATAATAATCATTCAAACATACCGAGCTGTCCCTTCTTTATTGTGACTGGACAATAACTTTAAAAATAGCCTGCGTAGCAAGCTTTTCCGCGCGAGTTTTGGGCAAAAAAAGAGGAAGGGGGGGCCGGGAGGGGCTAACTCGCGCAATAACTCCTACTGGAAACGCTTGTTATGCAGGCTAGGTATATATAATATAAAGTGTTTCTCTAGCTTAATTTTAAGCTTTAGGCATAGAGGGAAATTTTGATTGAATTTTCCTGGACTTTATTAAGTGATAATAAGGCTCGACTCAAACGTCAAATTTCACAAATGACGAACTTAATGACAATGCATGTACACGAAATGTAATGTTCCCATTCAAAAGCATTAGGTTCGCTACACATTTTTAACCGGGTCTTTAAGTTTTGATAAAGGTAAAGAGAAAGGGGGATTTTCTGCAGAAAAGGAGCGATAGTAAAAAGGGAGTGGGGCCGAAAAATTTATTTAAAACACTATGACTGTATTTTTTATCCCAAATTGCTATATTCTTTTACAATTATTTCACAGATAAAAGAAACAAGGCAAAGTGATAAGTCTCCAGTGGAACGAAACACACAAGAGAGGAAGATTTTAGTTAGATACATGGCGTTTGTCTTTCACTAACATCAAGAATCAAAAGCACTCTAGAATGAAAATCTTCGCAAAGATAACATCAAGACAGATGGGCTCCTCATCAAGAACATTTCTTACTTACCATGATTTGTGCACTGGCTTGCGTGAAAGATGTGTTTTAACTATTTTGCAGGCTGCCGTCCGTGACAACAGCGTGTATCTGGAACATTTATAGTGCTTCAAAAATTTGCGGCAGTCATTTTGATTGTCCATTGACAGACTGCAATGAGTACTTTAGACAATAAATCGTGAAAAGGTTTTTAAAAATCATTTTTATGCGTTTAAGTTTTAATCGGAACTATTCAGCTTTCTAATCATCTAATGAGGTTTTAGGACAATAAAGTACAAGATTAAGAACTCAGTCTCTTATCTGTCCACCTTTTTAAACGGTATCCAGGTCGCAATTGAATTTGATTGAAATCTCAAGTTGGATTCTAGCCTGTATATCAAGCGCTTATGACTAGCGAGGCAATAACGCGGCATTCGCGCGAAGCGCGAGGCGAACGCGGAATTCACGCGAAGCGCGAGACGAGCGAGAGGCGCGATGCGAGGGGAGGAAAAAAACCAAACATATTTGGCAACACCTTTGTTAAACCTTTGACTTAAATCTCACACGCATTTGACGACAACTTTGTCACACATTTGACCTGAGGCTCAGACACATTTAACGACACTTTTCACAAGCCTTTGACTTTAATCACAGACATAACTTTGCCGCGCTTTTGTCACACCTTTGGCCTGAATCTCAGACATATTTGAGGACGCCTTTGATAGGGGTACAAATGCCAATTAAATATACCTTTGACGCGCGTCAAAGGTAGGGGTTAAAGGCGTGACAAAAACGGCCTTTATCGCCTGAAGACTCGTCTTTGACCGCGGGGAAAGGTAAACATTTGTCGCGCGTCAAAGTTGTACAAAGGTGTGCAAAGGTGGCCTATATCGCCCGTTTGACTTCACCTTTGACGTTCGGTAAATCCGTTTTTTCGTCCCGTGAACTTTTAAGGACTGAAATGCAAAAAGAGAGTCGCAAGTCGAGTTTGCAAGTACTTTTGAAGTGTAATTAACAGCTTGTGATGAGAGGCCAAGATGGAAGTGAAAGATGCTGGAGTACTTTAACAGTTGGCTTAATTCACTATTAAATTTCAGTTTGTGATTCTGTCACTGCAAGATGGAATAATAATAATGCTTTATACGTCTATGAGGACCACATATAAATTAATTGTGTTGCCTTTTTTTTGTTAAACAGTTTTTACCTCTTACCGTAAAGCTATTTTCTACTGGCCTGGTAAAATATGGTTGCTATATTGCATTAACTGACGGACCTTACCTTCGATCATATCTTGTATGCCTTTTCCGGGCCCTTTGCCGTTAATTCTATCCGAAAAAGTAACTTTATTGAGAACTGACTGACTGTGAGCGGCATTTGTCTGTAGGCACTCGCACTGTTATCCCACCCATTCATCTGCAAAAAGCATCCCGAGATGGATAGTCAGATCAAGAAACATTTTCTCTTCAGCGTCGAACTTCTTGCCAGACTGGTGAGTAGTATAAGATTTAATCAACCAGCGCCATGGAGCTTTTATGTTAACGAACAGAAAACAAAAGAGGAATTCATTAGTTGGGCTATAAATGCGTAAAATTGCCGGGGGGAAAATATAAGATATGTAAACCAAGAATGTTTTTTTAGTTTTAGTTGGATAATTTTTCTGTGTTTCATCTCAGGGCCTTATTAATAAGGACACTGGAGCACCACAGGAGATGGCAGGACTCGCGACGCACCTTCACTTCCACGAGCCTTCCAATTTTGTCTTAGTCAGCTTTCTGCAAGGGGGACTATTTCATGAAATTTGTCAACTAGGAGAAAATGGTAAGGGTGCCAAATGCAGATTCAGTACTGCCACAGCTGACTTATATACTTAAAAAAATGTATATCTATTATCTATAAAAATTGCTATTATATTAGTTTTGATCTGTAGGAATCATTGCTAAAGCTCCGTTTTTACCGTCCTGTTACTGTCTCAGTCTTGGTGGTCAACTATTCAAATACCCAGAGTTTAACAAAAGATTTACGTACAGTATTAGTGTCAACTTAGTATAGACAGTCTTCCTCGTTGACGAAAATAACATATAGTATGTTTTCTTAAAATTGATAGGTAGCTTGTTAGTGGAACAATTGGTCAAGTTCGTTATTAGAAACAGGTTCGACTTTATTAAGACTGTTACTAAAAAAACATTTACTGTCATCAGCAAATGTTTTAAACGGAAAGTTTACAGGATTGATTTGAGAGAACTTTGTTATCAATTAAAGCAGAAACAACAGAGGTCCCAACGTAGAGCCAAGAGGTAAACCACAAATTATTGTTCCCATACTTGATCTAATATCTTCAATCTTAACAAATTTATTTTAAAAAAATGTTATCCAGAATTCAACGTCACGAAGTTCTGTTACCAGTTGATCAAATCTGAGATAAAAATTGAGGTGCTCGATATTTAAAACACAATATCACCTGAGTGTGTATTTGCTAGTCGTGAAAAAAGACCCTATTTGAGACAACCGTCCTATTACAGCGTGCATGATGCGCTTATTGTCTGTTTACAACTGCAGTTAAGTTTATCGAGAGTACAAATACACGAGAAAGCCGTGCTTAGAAAGACTGCAAATAAACTCAACTCCATTTCTCCAAAAAGACACTCAGAGCCGGTCCCTCTGTAGGTAGGACATTATGACTGTTCCAAACGGTGTCGGTCTTAGAGAAAGTTGACTGTACCAGGAAAACTTTGTTGCGAAAACATTAACTCATTTAATTTCCGAATGTTCTTTCTTTGAACTCTGGCTGTAGGTTTCTAGATTATTTTTGTCAGGATTGGCCGAATTTATACTAGAGACGAGTTATCCGCCTAGACAGACGGATAATTCGTCTAAGTATAAACACAAAGGTGAATTTTGCTGAACAATTTGTCTAGATATTTTAAGCGAGAAACAGGAAACATTGCGAAAATACAGAAACCAGTCCCTCTCATGTGGAAACTTCGTCAAGAAACCGTCTACGTTCCGTCTAGATATAAATTTAGAGGCGGATAATCCGTCTAAGACGAATTATCCGTCTGTTAGCACGTCATCAAGACGTGCTAACAGACGAATCAGCGTCAGACGAATTTTGCTCCATAATTCGTCTTAGCACCGAATTTATACTAGAAACGGATTATCCGTCTGAGACGGATAATTCGTCTCTAGTATAAATTCGGCCATTATAGTAATTCATTCATTAGATTCGGCACAAGAAAAGTTCGACGTTTGATACAAATGCCCATGAGTATTACAGGAAAATATTAACAAAATCACAGTGTAATCGTGGTCGATCAAATAATGGAACTGTATGGTAAAGGGACAGTTTCAGACATGATTTTCTCTCTAATTCATATTTACAGGGAAATTTTCGGAAGACGTTTTGAGGACACTGGTCCTGGTTCTTAACCACTTGTTTGCCCGATCGTTCCTCCATGCTTCTTTTAAGCGAAGGCTTCCCTCTTGGTCAACTTCAAAGGTATGAATTCCTTTTATATGGGCATGATTGGCCTCGATAGCAACACCACCCAATATGGCTGTCTTTGTAACTACCTCAGTTACTGAAATGATTTTTCCGCCTTTGCAAGTTTCTCATTTTTAGCAAGTATTTCTTGCCTCAATTCGTCTGATAATGTCTTATGGTGTTATGAAATGCTTGTCATGTAAAGCATATCAGTGGCAAGTGTTTCCGAGTATCTCCTAATTAGTAACTGATAGTCATGAAATTAACGGTGAACCAAAAAATGAAAGGACGTCGACGATCGCGAGATACTTCTTTCTCTTAAGAAGTAGTATTGAAGGGTTGTTAAGGCCCCTTTTTGAGAAAGGAGTCTCGTTAATTTAACAAAGATTAAGTGAATAAACGTCGATTATGCATGCCAAATAGAATATCACTGAAGATCTTTGAACAGCGTAACTATTCCAAATTATACTTCTCGCGGCGTTCATTAATTATTCACAAATCGATAAATTGATTATCATTATGGGCGCGCAAACAGAGCATATTAATGAGGATAAAGATAAATTAGTTTTAATAACACTTAACACAACAGTTTTTATTTTAAATTTCTAATGTTGACCGTGTTCTATTTCTCCATGTTAGGTGATTCCGCCTCATATTAATGAGCTTCCGTTCAGAACGGGCCTTACACACCATTACTATACCTTTATCCGAGGACTGAGTGTAACTTTTTAAGCCATATGCGACACGACACTTAATTAGCCCTACTTCCTTACGGACCGATGTTGAAACGATGCAAAACAATACCTTGAACTCACTGAAAGATTTTTCATTTAGCGTGTGAGTTTGATCTGCTAAACAACAGTTAGATGTAATGTTAAGTCAGTATTAGCAAGAGATAATAATAGGTCCTATTATGATCTCTTGGTATTAGGAAGAACCTCTTAAATTTTATTACGATATGATTTCTTAACATCACCTCGAGCTGATGTAGCAATGTTAGAAAGTGAATTTCAGACACCCAAAAGAGTATATGCTAAACGTTTATTGCCTAACTTCTATAGGTTATATTGGAAGATCTTCCGAAAGAGTTTGCTCAAGCCCTTCAAAGTTACAACGCTCAAGTTACAAAAGTTTTCAGTCAGTATTTGACTACTGTAGCGACAGAACAAGAAAGGCAACGAGGAGAGGAAAACAAACTTCCCTTGTCAGGAATAGGTAAGAATAGGCAACAAATGGCTATTTTGGGCTGTTAATTCATGGATTTTTACTTTTACACTTGCGTAAAAAATACGAGTTGGCGATGCTCTAAATTGGTTGTTTGAAACTTTCATTCATCTAGAACAACACCAACTACAACTACAAACGGAAATTTGAAAAAATGAAGTGTGCAATGAATACCTGAAGATCCGCAGCCAGCGATCCTGCCAATCGGTGCGGACCCAAAAAAAAAAAAGAATAAGTACAAATTTAGAAGAACTAATTTATGACTGCCAAAAGCACTCTAGTGGTTAGACCCGCTCTTGAAAGTCCAATGTTGACCATTTGTTCAAGGCAGAAAACATATGAACGTCAATTAACTAACCACTCAGTACAGTTCACTATTATCGTTAAAAGTCGCAAGTGGGGCTTTGTTTTATTGTGTTACCGGCACAATATACTTAAGCAGATTTAGCCCGGGAAATCTTAACTTGAAAAGACATATTTTGTTGTCTAGTATCTCGCTATAAAGTCGCGGCATCCCAATTTACCTATAAGTAAATACGGAAAATGATAATAAACTTTATTATTGTTTTCTACTATACTAAATAAGAATCAACGTACGAAAATGTTAATCTTTTAGCCATTAAATAGGAAGAAACAGCAATATTTTGCAATTCATCTTGTATTCTTAACCAGATGCAATGCTCCCGTTGCCATGTCAAACGCTATAAGTTTTACCACAAAATTAGATATTAGGATTTTATCTTTCCATCAAACCATTAGCATTTTTAAAATCTGTCTTAACTTTTCTCTGGTTTAGAATTCAACATTTGCTATTCCACCCTACGTTTCAGCACAAAATTAGATTTCGCTCACTGCCTTTTTATTTTGTTTTGTTTTATCATTAGCATTTAAAATTTGCTATCATTTTGGCAAAGCAAATTCTTTTGGAATTGTTTAAGACAGAAAAATCGCACAAACTGGACTAAATGACTAGCCTGAGAAAACGAAATGAGGTCTGAAATTCCATATTGACGACGCGTCACTACCTAGGTTTGGGTAGTACTTCTGATTGGTTGAATCAAATTTCTCACGCGGCACAACCAACCAGAAGCACTACCCAGATCTGAGTAGTGACGCGTAATCAGTATGGAATTTCTGTGCTCGTTTCTCAGACTTCATTTCGCGCGGAAACCAGTGGTGGTGTCGCTAAATGTCGGCTGTTTTCTCAGGCTACTAAAAGACCACACTGTTTCCGTGCCATTCCTTTTTAATAAAATTGAAACAATATGAATCCGATTTCTCGTTGCAGAGTTTCGTGATCAAAAGAGCGTGAAGCCAATTGATGAGTTTGACGTCATCAAATCGTTGAGACTCTCTTCCATTAAGTACTCCGCCTGTTCGTCATTTGCTGCATTATCAGGAAATTCAGACTTGAAATTACACTCCACAATTCAAGACAAGGAAGTTGAAAATGAGCTTGAAGAAGAAAATGAAATGGAAAAAGGGAATGCAGAGGTCGTCAAGACCTCCGCAACAAAGGGTCCCAGTGAAAAGGTCGAAGAAAAAGAAAACAATGAGAAATGTGAACTAGAAGATGAAGTAGACGATATCGAACCCATCAATCATTTTCTCAAGGTAAAAACTCACCTACTACGTTTCATTTTTTTATTTCTTTTACAACTCAAGTCATTGCGTTAGTTCACGAACTGTTGGTACTGTTCCACCGACTCGCACACCTCTGTTATACCCATATAAGCGCAGAGCATCTAGTTTTTCTTTTACGTGCATGATAAAACATGGAATCTATTCATATCTGCTAAGGGCATTTTATGGTCTTAATTACCCTCAACAAATATTGCGCAAATATTGCGACAATCACGATTCCACTTAAAAGAAAACCACCCTGCACTGTTTTATAATACTGATGTATGTGGTTCAGTTTTATCCTTGGTTTCAAGTTTATTTCCCTTTGTTTTAAACTCATTATCATACATTACCATACCCCAAAGCAAAGGGAAATAAAATTTAAACCAAGGATAAGATTGAACCACAACACATGCATAAAAAAACGTTGACCGTGCAGATTGTTCGCCAAGATGTCTACACAGACATGAACGTGGTTCCTGTTCTCCCCCTGAGGAAACGTGACTCGCTCGGGCGCGTACAGCACCTGAATGCTTACGCTTTGGATTTCTTCAAGCATGGATCTACTAAATGCCTTGAGGAGGAAAATGGGTATGTGACAAAATTGTTTATAAAGTGTTAAAGCGTATATGAAACACCTGAAATTGTGCTAGTACTTAACTACTTTTAGATGTTCGGTTGTCCACGTTCTACATGTATTTCTATTTTGTTGCGGCTACTGTATAACCGATTTAACGGGTTTTAATTAAGTTGGAATGTTTGGATCCAAGAGGAAACGGCTTATTTCGATTGTTTGATTGAATTCCTTTGCCAAAGCAAGCTGGTTGGCTACCAAGATAACAGAAAGGATATATAAGGGCAATTGTGTGTCTTAAGTTGTTATTTTATTTCACCGCAAAACGGGAGAAAACATTCCCACTATACTACTTACATCTATTTTAAGATTTTGTTCATTTTGACTCTAGTCCTGTAGTTACCTCCAGTTGTTTCTTGTACGATTTTATTTTAAGTACCATTTTGCGACCTCGACCCAAACTAAATTCGGCCTAATCGCAGGTTACTTATATACAGGAATTATTCTTAGAGCTATTATTAAGTTTATCTGATGTTTCCCTCACAGAGTCAGGCCCGGTGACGTTTTTCATAAATTAAAGGACTTTTATCTGACCATTAAATCAATCAGGTAAGAGTTAAAATGCTTCGTTTTTTATCCATGTCGCCAATCTTTCGCACTAGATAGAGAGATTTAGAGTCACGTCTACGGAAAACGGTAGACGACAGATTCAAGTTGAGGATTTCTCAAAATAGAAAATGAGCAGATAAAAAAGCCCGAAACAATTCTTATGAATAAAACTAACGTGTAACTACTAATTTCTTGGTATAAGTAATGAACAGCAAAGGACGATTAAAGGAAATTGGTCACGTGCGCCAAAACCACGTTTGCCCTTTTTTTTCCGTAAAACGTGACTCTGAATCTCTCTATTATTTTAAGTATTCTATTTCTAATCGTCTCGTCAGTGAATGGAATTCTTCTCTCTCGTCTGTTATTTGTGAATCTAGCCTTAATTCTTTCAAAGTCTCCCTTTTAAGTTATTTACACTCAAAGTGGTATTAATAGGCATACCCTCTATGAATTATACTTTTATCAATTCTCTTTTATTATACTTTTTTTTTTCTTATCTTATATTAGTTTCTTCTTATTACATTTGTATTTCGAGGTTTTTTCTTGAATGTGTGCATCTACAAGACAGTTTACATTTATGTAAGGAGCGACAGTAGCCCCAGCCTATGGAAATTCAGTTTCTTCCTACTGCTATCCCGCCATCTTTTGCCGTTTTTAGGTTTAATTTTTTAATGGATAGTTAAGTATCATTAAATTCTATAAAATAACTAAGACAGTACACTCGAAAAGCTTGTAAATCACACTCCTTCGGCTCGTGATTTACAAGCTTTTCGCGTGTTCTCCCAACATCTCGCGTGGGTTATCACGCCGCTAAACCCATAGAAACTGTGGTCTATCGCTTAAATAAACTATATGTGTATAAGCAGCTATGTTAATTGATGGTGGGCATATTGAAATGAAGGTATTTTTTCTAATGAACTGCTGCAAAGCGCAGCGAACTTCGACTCTTAGCTTACCTTAAAAAACGAAGATTGAAATCGTCTTTTTTTGTTAATCGCTTTCAGTTGTTCTTTGGAGGAGTTAGGGCCTGAAACCGACAATGTGGTGCTGGCGTTTAAACAGTTGGCCGAGGAGTTTGGAGAGAAATTCAGGAAGCGGTTTGATAGTGATATTTAAATGCCACAGTGCAAAAATACTGTAATACTGTAAGCGTATAAACAGGAAGAGTACAATTACAGTGGGAATACATGAAAAAAAGGAACATATAATATTCGGCAAATATATAAAATGAGGTTAATATATAAAAAATAATATATGGCAGTGGTGAGGCAAATGTCATTTAATTAAGTGCAATAAGGCGCGAACCATACATATAATCCTTTAATCAATAAAGATAAGTCTTGTGAAAAATGCTTTGTTTGGATAGGGAAATTGAGTAGTCGGCTGAGAGTTCAAGAACGTAGTCATATACTAATACCAGAAGCCGTATGATTATAAAGCGCCCTTGCCCATGGGTTCCCTTGCTTTGGTAGTGTGCGGAAAAGACGATCACCTAGCTCATTTGTGATTTGCGTATTTAGCAATTGTTGTAAAATGACTCAAAATTTGCACGATTACCCGCTTGTATCAAACCAATCAAGTAAACGAAAAAACTTGGTGTTGCTAAAAAGCCCGCGTGATAGACGATAAAAATGGTAATGAGGGGATTTTTCTACGAGCGCGAATCGCTCAACACTCGAAGAGAACTCAAGTAGGCTGAGCCCAGTTTCTCTACAATTGCTTTATCCCTTTGCTGTGCATGTTAAGATCTTTGTCATGAGGAGATATGCAATCCATAAGCTTTTAAAGAAAAAAGTACGCAGGGAAGCTGAGAAAAATGTTCAGAAGTTGTCCGTTTAAATTTATTCTGTTTCCGTTCACGTGATCTCATCGAGCGAACAAGTATTGAGTATGCGTACTTAAGGAGCAATGTAAGAGCGTTTATTTTGTTGACTCTCATAGGCAATGCAAGCAAACGATAATATCTTAAAATCTACCCAATAAAATTTGACGAAAATTGGCAGAAATCCTGTTTATATCGTACTCCTGTCAATGAAAGTTTCAAAATGAATATTGAACAAAGGAATTTTTTAACACAAACAACTTTCTCGCCTTAAACCCGATAAATAACATTTCTTATAAATATATTGTATACTTGCCAAATTTTCTATACCTGCAACGAGTCCTAAAAAACACCCTAATGAATGGTAACGATCGATAACCTATGAAACTAAATTAAGCTAGCCTGAGAGCAGAGCAAGTTCTCCCTTTCGGAGAGTCGCGAGAAGTCACGCGAGAGCAGCATAAACGGAGACCTTGCTAGCAGGCTAAAGTTCAGTCACCTAAAGAGATGAAAATTGCGGCTGCTTTCCCGCCAACGTGCGCGCGCTTCTCTTTCCCATTGGCGACTGTCACGCAAACACTTTGTAATACGCAAGTTGTTTTAGGGTCTGTTTACGTGGAGTGGGGGACCCCGGTCTAGTGGGGTAGGTTTGTTTTGTTTTGTGTCCTCCAAACGTCGCATTAATTTATTCCGTCACAAATTTGTGAACAAAAAATCAAAATGTGCAGGGACTGAGCTCCTAAGATGTTGTTTTTATCTCTGATGTTTGCCCCCCAAAAAATTTTTACCGGTTTTATCGATAAATTCAAGTCAAAAAGACAAAGCTTTACCTGTTAAAACTTCCAAACCGAACTTTGTCACCTTCTTCGTGTGTTTCGGGAACAGCTTGCTTGATCAGCAGTGAAATTTTCTTTGTTTGTTACGGCAGCAAACCGGGAAGGGATTTTGCTCGCAACTTACGCGAGTTTGGCGTCGCTGGCTTGGAGGAACTGGAGGTGAATCAGCGAATAGTGCAGGATATTCACTGATTGAGTAGCCAATCAGAACGCACGAAAAACGCTATCCACTGTTTTAGTATATACTACATAGATTTAGCCAGGGCTAAAAGTGAAGCTCTCGAAAACAGTAAACTTGTAATCCACAAATCAGTTATAACTTTAGGGCACATTCATGTGAGTTTTGAGTGAAGGTTAAAAAAATCAGTAGGTCTAATTAGCAAAAAAAAAAACAACAACTTTGCACGTGCAGCACACTTTTTTTGTACATTTTTTTGCAGCTGTTTTGTACGACTACATCGAGAAACTTCCAGAAACTTCCAGAAACTTCCTAGTTACATGTTTTATGTGTTCCTGTTGACTCTTTTTTCGCTGCCGCTCATTTTCACCTTGGTGGCCGCTAGCATTTCCCCCCTGTTTAAAATTTTTATGTTTTTCTTCCAACGAAATTGGTCTCCTTTGTTTTTTGTCTCGCTCTAGCTCTTTCTCTGTTATCCATGTCAATGTAGACATTAAAATTAAGTCGAATTACAAAATTTCGGCTTTGTTGTTGTTGTCTGTATCTCCAAAGTCAGAGAAGCTATGGGATTTACCGTCAAAACGTACGGGCGCTTGAAATCCAAACTTTCATCCCGGCTTACATGAAGGCGTGGACGCACGTACGGACCCTTTTCTCGCTGCGCGAACTTCGCGCGCGAGAGAGCTCCGCTATGACTCAAGCTGGTCCATAGTATTTTTAACAGCAAACAAGAGTCCACAAACTTGTACACAAAAGTGGCCCTCTTGTTAATGGTATTTTTGACGTTAGATATAAATTGATAGTTTATTTTTGGACCGGACCGGGGTTTACTGTTTTCAGTTTAAACAAATCAAGTCAACAAAAAAAGATACGAAAGTCGATCCGGGCGGGAAATTGGACTGTCGTCGGTACGTTCCGAGAGCTTTTGTTATCCTTAAAAGCGGACGGGCCCTCGGTGCTGACCAATGGGATCGCAGTGTCTGTGAACGAGAATTGCGTGATCCACAAGTACCTTAGGCACGTGATAGTCTGGTCTTGATTCTCGGAAATGTTAGATGTAAAAACCTGCTCGAATTTCTCGGAAGCACCAATGTGCCATATAAACTCTTTTCTTTCCTTCAGGTGATCATTGCTCGCACCTAGCTTACCCTCCACAGAGGTAGTGTCGTGGTTTGGCCAAATTTACCGGATTTTAGTCGTCCGGAACGAAGTAGAAGTGAGACTCGGATTCAAATCAATGTCATTTATAATTTTATCCTGAGGTAAGCCAGTCAACGGAAGTATCTGGAGGAGAATAATGTGCTTTTTAATCGATCAGCGGAACGATCGAGATTTGTGCGAGGTTGAGAAGGTAAAGAAAAAACTGTCGATTAGGATGGTGAAAGGCTGCAAAACTTAAAATTCGACTCTTTTCAGTTTTAGATGTCAGCAGAAAGCGAAAGCTACTGTTCGCGATAAATAAGCTTTAAGTAAAGATGTACATAGGAGGAAACGGAGCTTATATTTGCAATCAGACGCGTCTCACAGATGCGACAATGCTTTTGATATAACAAGTAAGACAGGGAACGTGTTGATGACAATATTTTACTGATGGAAATTCTGGTTTTATGTTTCATTTTAACCAGGATTATTTATTCATGACTTTGATATTACTTAATATTGTCGGAGACAAGTTTATTCTTGTCGTTGTCGAAATCAAGGATGTCGATTGATTACGTAAATTCTGCAATTACGTACATTAAGACTACGTACAGTGTTTATGATCTAGTAGAATTGTTTGAATAGAAAATTTAAAATTTGTTCCCGTGTGAATGAAAATTGAAATCTAAACTATAAAGAAAATAAGCATTTTAAACTAGCACCTGTTGATTTAAAATCGTGATATCTTGAACGAATTGCACCTAGACAATTAGTTTCTATTGGAAAATGAAATCAGTGGCGCGACTGAGTCAAAGCGCATGTGGAAGAAGAGTGGTTGAGGAGTATGGCAACAGATGGCATGGAGAACAAAAATCTTGGTCATTGGCAAAACGCGTGACGATCAAGTACCCTTGACGCATTCGTGACGCACCGGTGGTTTTAGAACAATTATTTCTTTAAGCAAACTTGTGCAAGCGTATCGCGGCTCAACCAGCAGCTGGCAGATGCGATTGCCAGGAGCGTTGCTAGAATTTTTCCAGGGGTACACAAACTGAGTCTACTCCGTCTACCAAATCGTTTTCATTTGCTGTGTGAAAATTAGCGAAAAATATTCACGAAATTTTGAAGGCAAAACAAACATCTGAAATAAGTAAAAGAGGAGTTAAACAGGTAAATTGCGCCGTTTTTCAACTATCCCTATTTATTTTTTCCTTTGCTTAGTTTTTTTATGTTTTTGTTTGTTTGTTGTTTTTGTTTTATGTATCTTCGAGATTTTCTCAGAGACGCTCTCGCGTACTGGAGTAAAGGTAGCTAAACATCCAGGCATGCTTTCCAACTCTTCGCCTGGTCTTCGCCTTCGCAAAAACGTGGCTTTTTACACGAAACAGGATTTCCCCGCCATGAGTTTTCTAGGAAAGAATTTTCCACAACCCATTATGTCGACGGCCGAATGTTCTTTGCGGTACTTACAGTTATTTCCAACGATGGTGTGCCTTTTTTCCTGAATAGATTATCAGGGGTCTAAATTTTGAAATCGAGGCAAATCGCTTACTAAACATATTTACTTACTGTTAGCATACTACGAAAATCTCAAAAGCATATATATTATTTATAAGCTTGACCCCTTCCTAGTTTCCTTGACTTTCTTCTTATCACGACTTTGTGTGGCAGGCCACCCTGCCAGAAGTGGCTATCATGACCGCTTTTATCTTTCTAATCTTTGTCTTAGGTTACTGGGCATAACTGATTAAGGAAAAGACTGAAACTGCCGCAGGGGTAATGGCAGGCCTAATAGTTGATCACCTTAGCCACGATTAGCCAGCGACTGTTTTCTGCAAAATATCTGTTCGGAGAAGCAGATGTTGCCGAGAATTTTCTTCTGCTTGAGGCGGCTGACAATTTCTAGAAGACTGTTCCATTAATGTACAATTTTCGAAGCTTATCTGATTAATTCCCTACGATTTTCTAAAGTTTAATTTTTCACATTTCATTCCGCAGGTTACGCTATTTTTTGTAGAAAAAAGGAAACCTAAATTTTCGGATTCGAAAATGTGCTGCAGTTTATTTTTGAACGGAGCCGGGCTTTACTGTTTACTGTTTAAACAAATCAAATCAACCAAAAAAGATACGAAAGCCTATCCAGGCGGGAGATTGAATTGTCTTCGGTACGTACCGTTACCCTTACCAAGCGGACGGGTCCTCGATGCCGACCAATGGGATCGTAGCGTCTGGGAACGAGATTTCGCGGGATCAACAAGTACAGAGTGTAGCTAAATGTCGTTGGTAGTGGGTAG